ATATTCCAGCCTGTTATTTACTGCCACACCTATGGGAATGGTTTAGTCTGGGCCTAAACTAGGGAAGTGTCCAAATCCCAATATTCCAGCCTGTTATTTACTGCCAGAGTTGTGGGAATGGTTTAGTCTTAGGCCTAAACCAGGGAAGTGTCCAAATCCCAATATTCCAGCCTGTTATTTACTGCCACACCTGTGGAAATGCAATGGTTTAGTCTGGGCCTAAACCAGGGAAGTGTCCACATCCCGATATTCCACAATGTTATTTACTGCCACACCTGCAGGAGGATTTAGTCTTAGGCCTAAACCAGGGAAGTGTCCAAAACCCGATATTCTAGCCTAGTATTTACTGCCAGACATGTTGGAGTGTCATGGTTTAGTCTGGGCCTAAACTAGGGAAGTCTCCACATCCCAATATTCCAGCCTGGTATTTAATTCCAGACCTGTGGGAATGTCATGGTTTAGTCTGGGCCTAAACTAGGGAAGTATCCCAACCCTGATATTCCAGCCTGTTATTTACTGCAACACCTGTGGGAATGTCATGGTTTAGTCTGGGCCTAAACTAGGGAAGTGTCCAAATCCCGATATTCCAGCCTGTTATTTACTGCCACACCTGGGGGGGATGGTTTAGTCTTAGGCCTAAACCAGGGAAGTCTCCAAACCTCCATATTCCAGCCTGTTATTTACTGCCACACCTATGGGAATGGTTTAGTCTTGGACCTAAACTAGGGAAGTGTCCTGATCCCAGTATTCCAGCCTGTTATTTACTGCAACACCTGTGAGAATGCAATGGTTTAGTCTGGGCCTAAACTAGGGAAGTGTCCAAAACCCGATATTCCAGTCTAGTATTTACTGCCAGACCTGTTGGAATGTCATGGTTTAGTCTGGGCCTAAACCGGGGAAGTCTCCAAATCTCCATATTCCACCCTATTATTTTTGTCATGTCCATGAGGGGATTTTGTAAAACCGTAAAACTCTGGAAATTTAAACCTGAGGGGTCTTTTCCCCCCCGGAAACTCAGTGGGAGAAAAGACCCAGGAGAAAAAAACCCTTCCCTCGTTCCTTCGTTCCCCCGACTTTACGAGGGACTTAAAAAACGTTAAAATGAAAATCGAACCGGAATGAAATTTCGGTTTAAAAGAGAGACACCCCGAACCCTCACCCTGAAGGACATCTCGACGTTCTCCCCCCCCCAGATCTCCATCTGGTCGTCGTAGGAGCCGAGGTGCTCGAAGTAGGAGCGGGAGATGGCGAAGAGGCCCCCGGCGAAGGTGGGAGACCTGCGGGGGAGAAAGGGGGTTAAAGTGCAAAGAAAAAAGGGGGGAATCCGAGTTTTGGGATGTCTCCGGAAAACTCCACCGGGAAGGGGCGGAATCGCTCCCCCAGAGGCACCAAAATGGAGTAAAAACCACGGATTTGTTGGGAAAAGGGGCGGAATCGATCGCCCAGAGACATCAAAATGAAGGAAAACATCAATTTGTTGGGAAGAAGAGCAAAATCGCTCACCCAGAGGCACCAAAAGC